GTAGAGACGGGATCTCACTCTTGCTCAGGCTGGTCTCAAACTCCTGAGCTCAAACGATCCTCCCACCTCGGCCTCCCAGAGTGCCAGGATTACAGGCGTGAGCCACTGTGCCGGCTTCAGTGTGATCTTTTAAAACATAAATCAGACCATGTCCCTACTCTCTCCAATCCTGGCAACAGCTCCCAGTTTCTCTCGGATTAAGGCTACAGTTAAAATAATGCGCTAGGCCCCATATGATCTGGTCACTTGTCTCGCCTCCTCTCCCCGCTGTTCTTGCCTCATTCATGCTTCCTGCACACTGGCCTCCGTGGTGTTCCTCACACACGTCGATCATGCTCCTGGTCGGGGCCTGTGCACTGGCTGGTCCCTCTGCCTGGAATGCTCTCCCCCACATGGCCATGTGGCCTTCTCCCTCAGCGTGTTCACGTCTTCCTGCACATGTCACTCACTGTATTCGTTCTGCTGCTTCGTAACAAAGGGCTCCAAATCTCAATGGCTTAAAACAACAACCATCTACTATCTCATAGTTTCTGGGGGCCGGATTCCAGGCGCTGCTTAGCTAGGGGTCAAGGTGTTCCCTGCGGTCAAGGTGTCGCCAGGGCTGTGGTCTTTCTGTAAGCTCCACAGAGGGGGGACCTGCCTCCAAGCTCCCTCCCATGGTTGCTAGCAGTACTCTACTCGGCCCTTGGCAGGCTCTTGAACCAAAGGCCCAAGTTCCTCCCTGGTGGGAGCCTCCCTCAATTCCTTGCCCCGTGGGCCTCGCCATAGAGCATGTTGCCATGCGGTGCCCAGCTTCCATGAAAGCAAGCAAGCAAGGGCATCTACGACAGGAGACACAATCTCTTTATAACCTAACCTCGGAAATGACATCCTGTCACTTTTGCCATATTCTGTTTGTTAGGAAGGAGTTACTAGCTCCAACCCACACTCAAAGGAAGAGGATTATCCAGGAAGACCGGAGATGTGGATTATTAGGGACCATCTAAGAGGCGGCACGCCACGGTCACCTTCTCAATAATGTGATCTCCTTACTTAAAATTGCAGCCTATACTATGGCACCAGTTTTTGTGAATAAATAAGCAAATAAATAAAATTGCAGTCTCACCCCTCGCCCCTTTCCTCACATTTCCATTTCCCTTTGCATTAGGGCAAAATAATAAATGCTATTGTTTTGAGAGCCACCTAGGGTTTTGGGGGAGTTTTGTTGTTGTTGCTTTAGAGATAGGATCTCGCTCTGTTGCCCAGGCTGGAGTGCAGTGGCCCGATCATAGCTCACTGCAGCCTCAAACTCCTGAGCTCAAGCAATCCTCCTGCCTCAGCCTCCAAGGTGCTGGGATTGCAGACACGAGCCACCGCACTCAGCCTGTTCTGTAGCAATAGCAAACAGATGTGCTAGCTTCCTTAAAAAAATACTCTGCAGTGTACTTTCTCTCTTATGCTTCTTATCTATTGTCTTTGTCCCCTCTATGGAATGTAAGCTACATGATGGCAGGATTTTTTTGTTTTTGTTTTTTTGATTGTTTTGTGTCCCTAGCACTAGAAGCATGCCTGATACATAGCAGATACTCAATGTTTATTAAGTGAATGAATCTGAATCTGTTATCAATGTTATCTGCATAAATTACTAGTTCCCTGCCTTACTTTATTCTGTTGCAAAATTGCAATAATATCTTCCTTACAAAGATTGAATGAGACTTATATTGACATGTGCGAAAAGCAGTCATTCAGTTGTGCATTTTTATTTCCAAGAACCCTGGTAACCATTCTGATAAGGAGGAAATAAAATAAAATCAATCAAAAGAAATGGTTAGGAATCCATAAACTGTTACAATCCCATCCATATCTTTTTTATCAAGTTTTATAGGAAAATTGCAGTATTTGTGGGAAAATGGAATAAATTCATTTATTATGAGAAATATTAAGATTAAAACTTTTTTGCTGAAGAGAACAGTGATTAGTTTTTAACTTGGAGACTATCTTTAAAATTTGCTCCTCTCATAAGCTTAAAAAAGTAAATAATCAGCACTTTGAGATTTCTTGGTTCCTGACCTCTAGACCTATTACCCTGTGATCTGCTATTAACTCACACTGACCATGACTTTTTGACATGTAGATTGTGAAAAATCTTTGAGGTTTAAAAAAAAAAAAATCCATGCTAGAGGAGCCATGTAATCCAGTGAATGGGAAAGAATTAAACTCATTCCTTTATAAAGTTATCCTTCCTTTTTTTCCCCTACGTTTGTGGTTCCTTCCTTTCGAATGGTACTTTTTGTTGTTGTTATCCCTTCTTGATTCTATCTGTATGAAATGAAAGTAAATAATTTTCAGAGCAAAATGTGGTCTACAGGAATGGATGGAAAAGGATGGGCTTTAGCTTAATAGGATTAATCAGTAGTCCACCTAATGATCATGGCCAAATTGTATTCCAATTCTTCTTTCTGCTTTTCCATCTGAAATTGTCTATAGGCTTTCCTTCCATGATTTTGCTCTTAAGACATGGAAGCAAACTTTAGATTTCAGAATAATCATTCAACTAGGCATTAAAGCAATCGGTAGGGGCTGGGGAATGAAACAGGAATGGATTCTTCCCTTCCATGTTCTGTAGTCTATAATTCTGAGAGTGAAATCAGAGGACATTTTCTGTTAAAGGATGAGGACCTTCCATGAAATCAAACTCAAAAACTTACAGAAAAAATATCAAAATCTTTGATTTTTCTAAATAATTTATGAATCTATTATAAGTTTACCTAAATCTGTCTTGAGCCTCTCATTTATATTTTAGTAACATCATCGTTTTCTTTTTCCAGAAAGAAAAAAAGAAGACTGTATTTAATTTATTTCTTTTCGTATGTATTCAATAATTACATAAGCTCTCTTGCTTAAGCTATTGCTAATAATAGTTTTTTTTGTTTGTTTTAGAAAACTACAAACAAGTATCCTAATATATAAACACTTCAAAAAATATTTTGTTGTTTTTTTCTTTTTTTTCTTTTTTATTTTATTTATTATTTATTTATTTTTTGAGGCAAAGTCTCACTCTGTCACCCAGGCTAGAGTGCGGTGGCGTCAGCCTAGCTCACAGCAACCTCCAACTCCAGGACTCAAGGAGGCTCCTGCCTCAGCCTCCCGAGTGGCTGGGACTACAGGTGTGCACCACCACACCTGGCTAATTTTTTCTATTTTTAGTAGAGACGGGGGTCTCACTGTTGCTCAGGCTGGTCTCGAACTCCTGACCTCAAGCGATTCTCCCACCTTGGCCTCCCAGAGTGCTAGGATTACAGGCGTGAGCCACCGTGCCCGGCCCTCCATTGTTTTTAAATCTCAAAATATTAAGGGGGTACAAATGTTTTTGTTACACAGATACCTTTTATAATGCTTAAGTTGGGGCTTTTAGTGTGCCCATCACCTGAATAGTGTTCGTTGTACCCAGTAGGTAGGTTTTTACCCCTTCCCTCCTCCCTCCCTTTGGTGATCTTGTAACCTCTAAATGTATTACACAACTTTGCCCTTTTATAAAATTCCCTCTTACATTCTTCAAGAGTTTTGTCTCTCCATTCTAGAATTCCAGAATGTGCTGAACAAGTCAGAGTTCTCTCTAGCCACAATTATGATTTAATATGCTTTAATATTTTTTCCTTTTTCAGAAACAGCTTCTCAGAACACAGACTTTTAAGGTTTTGTTGCTGTTTTATTCAAGAGGGACATAGGGTCTTAGCTGAGACTAATTTTATTTGCATTTCCTGGATTCCAGTCTCTGGAATGGGATGTGGTAATTTAAAGGCAGAAGTGTCTGATGTCATAAGGGTGATGTTATCACAGGGGTGTGTCAGAATGAGTAAGTAAGTAATATCTGACTATGCCATTTTGAGGATGCATGCTAATCAATTTTTTTTTTCCATAGGCTATAGGCTTATCAAGGTTAAAAGGCATTTTGGAATATGAAGAGACCTTAAAACTGGTTTGCAGAGGTTTCATGAAGGGCATGGCTACCTACAGATTGAGCACTCGTTTTGACTTGCCTTCTAATACCTAAGCCTACCTTTCATTTTCATGACTCAACAGGGTGTATCTTCTTCACCACAAAATTATGTAGTAAGCAAAACAAAAAAGACCCCAAGGCCATTACTTCTGCTACTTGGTGGAGCAATGACTCCCTGATTTGTCTATTCAAGGAACAGTATTTAATAAAAAGTTATAGGCAAAATTATAACCCTTGCTCCCTGCCTTCAGCATCCCCCACTTACACACTGCATATTCTAATTCTAACTAGATTGCCCTAGTTAGAGTCTTTCATAGTTTGGTTTGAAACAATATTTACAAAACTACCTTTGGAAACTCTCAGTAAAGAATAACACCATCTTCATCTTGGATCTGGAAAAGAACTAGGTCCTCTTAGGAAACAAATAGGAAAAAAGTGAAATCCATCATGAGACTGGAAGTGCAGGCAAAACCAGAAAGATTCTTTTTTTTTTACCAAACTCAGGAAGTTTACAGGGGGCAGATTTGTGGAATGAGTACAGGGGACATCATGCATACTAATAATATTTTTCCTCCTGGATCAGACAAGCAGATCAGATTGCTTTTGTACCGATTTTGAGCAGTTCAGTATCTTGTACAAAAGGAACACCTATTTCCAACTCTTTATATGTTACCCCTCTGAAACAGAAGAATAGCAATTTATCTGCTCAACCAAATTACTTAACATCACTATATGCAAGGCACAGAGGCAGGGCCCATGGAGAATACAGGGCTATATGAGATTGCTGCTCTCAAAAAGCATTCATTTCAGTATAAAGCTGATGCAGACTTATTAAGAACCTGTTGCTTTAAGTGAAGGTCATGGAGGAAATCTGTACATGGCCATCATTTCCCCACCCACTCATGCTTTCTTGGATAGTATGCGTGAAGAATTAAATATCTTTGGGAAACCTGCCCCGCAAGAATCAATAACTCTGAAAGTACTAAAATTTATAGTTCAAAATAACTTATCAGAAATGTATCCCAGTGTCATTATAGTCTATGAAATACTCTTAACAGGTTGCATCAGCAAAAGATGCTATCCAAAATGAAAAATTTTCAACATTTCTTTGTGATCTTACGTTTGCCAAGAGTGACTGGTATTGCTTTCTGTTATATCTATTGACAAAGAAGTTGCATGGCATGAATTTGGTATCTGTTGAAAATGAAAATTATACATTGTGATGAATTTATAGAAAAGTGAGGCAGAACAATATTTAATAATCAATCGTGATATCATTACTTAAACTATTGTCACAGTTCAGTCCATGGCTGGGCTTTGAAGTGTTTCCCCAGTTCTTGGGCTCTGGGCTTAAAAGTATCACAAGTCTTGGCCCACAGGGCAGAGAAAGATGGCAGACACTCAGCAAGTATGCATGAAGAATTTATTGTAAGGAGAGTTTGAGGGTGCAAAGCGAAAGTATATTTCCTAAGGGGAAATACACTGGATCCTTCTATGTTTCTCTTTTTATATGCTAGTAGTTTAAAGGTTAGTTATAATTATTCATAACTATACATTTTGGGGACTGAATTCCTTTCTATGTTTGAACATGACTTAAAGGTTATGTTTCAGTCATTTCTTTCTTTCTTTTATTTTTTGAGACAGAGTCTCACTTTGTTGCCCAGGCTAGAGTGAGTGCCGTGGCGTCAGCCTAGCTCATAGCAACCTCCAACTCCTGGGCTCAAGCGATCCTCCTGCCTCAGCCTCCCTAGTAGCTGGGACTACAGGCATGCGCCACCATGCCCGGCTAATTTTTTCTATATAAGTTGGCCAATTGATTTCTTTCTATTTATAGTAGAGACGAGGTCTCACTCAGGCTGGTTTCAAACTCCTGACCTTGAGCAATCCGCCCGCCTTGGCCTCCCAGAATGCTAGGATTAACTGGCCTCAGTCATTTCTTTCTAAGGTGAGGGAAGTGCCATAACCTTTTTCTGGTGTTTTCCATTCTCTGACTGGTGGGTCCATGTTCCATGGCCTGATTACCCAATTTTTTAAGACTGAAATAACCGTTCCCTCGTTTTGTTTTTCTGTAACCACTTCCTCCTTACTGTTTTTCTATAAATGTTTTCTCCTTTCTGTTTCTCTGATTTCCATTACCTCTTGTTTTTCTGTCCCTCACAGTATTATTCAGATTGACTCAGAAAGGCTGAGTAAGCACATACTGAATTATATAGGTGTAAAACAATCAATAAACAAGCAGTGTAATATGAAAATTGAAAACCAAATTATACATATAAATGTAAAGAATGAAAATAAATGTTCCCAATAGATAAAAGCCTCCTTAATCAGGACAAAGTGACATGCATACAACCCATAGTTTCAGGCTGAGTGTGTAAAGGTCAACTTTGAAAGAGAAGGCACAAGTTTAAAGAACTTTCTGTGGGGAGTGTGGAAAAGAGTACCATCCTCTACTAATTATGAGGCCTTTCTTGTTAGGCCCAACTCCTACCTTGTCCGTCTCCAACCCCTCTTTGACTCTACTCAGAGGTCCTTCAAACCTTTTTAAACCAGGGGGCCAGTTCCTGTCCCTCAGACCATTTTGGAGGGCCAGACTATACTCTTTAAAAGTATTGAACAAACACTATGCATCACCTGCATTATTTAATTTTCTTTGAAAGTAATAAAAAACCAATACCGTGAGGAGTGAGAGTCAAGCCAATTCAACTCATCAACCCCACGGCAAACACCTGCATCTGGCCACGGCAGTTTGAGACGCTAGCACTAAATCGAACCTCGCACAGAAAGTTTTCTTTTGCCGAGAAAATAATATAATGATTAGAAAGGATCAAGAGAAAAGTGCGTTGATAATCTGATAGCATCCAATCCCAGTACAGTGGATGACAAACACAAATGAAACAAACAAAAACGGCAGGATGCCTGTTCTCTACGTACAGTCCCCAGAAGAGGGGACTTTGTTCACTTTCACTGCAGACCTCTTGTTAAATCGGTGTGTGTAAAGTCCAGTTTTGGTGGGTATGTGGTTAGGTAGTTTTCCATTAATTCATTGTAGTCTAAAGGGCCAAGGTGCATTTCTCCAACAAATGTAGAGAAGGATTGCAACCCAGCCCAGCTGCAAAGTCAAGCAGCTCGTAGACAGGCACTGTCCTTGCCTGCATTGTTTTTTTTTTTTTAAAATTTGAATTAGTGTAAATTTAATTTTAGTGTCAACTTGCAAGGCTACGGGCTTTGTTGTTCAAAGAACACTAATCTAGATGTTGCTTTAAGAGTTGTGTAAATATGTAAATTTTAAGTCCAGTTCACTTAATACAAGTTAAAGAAATTTTTGTCCAAATTATGTGATAAGGCCTCATCTAATCAGTTAAGAAGCTTGAGAACAAATCTGAGTTTCTAGAAGAAGGAATTCTGATAACATAAAAATCCTTAGGGCCAAGGTTTCCCAGCTGTTGGCCTGGCCTGAGGATTCAGATTGCGTGTGTGTCTCGTAATGGGTTTCCTAGCCTCCTTAAAAAACGAACTGTCACTAATATGTGTTACAATGGACAATCAGACTATTGCTGACGCCCATGCCTTTATCCTCTATTCTTATAATAAATTCTGAAATAAAGACCATTTGCTTAGCTCCTTTTGCAGTCTAGCTATGGCATGGTAGGCTACGTTGCTAGCCAAAACTGAGATGTGACGCAGATATTTTTGTGGCAGGCTCCTTTAAAGGCACACCTGATGGGTAATCCTGTGTCTCCCCTTGCTTTTTCAGCAACCAGTTTTCCACCACGCTGCCTAGAACTGGATGCCGGACCCCGCTCTGGCAAGCCATACTGGCCCACTGGAGATTAAGGTCCATACCCTCAGGAATGATATCGCAGAAAGTCGGAAGGAACCTGATCCCCCATACACCCCTGTGGAGCTACGTGAGTAGTTCCTGACTGCCTCCAAACAGAGGAAAACATTTAAGGTATCTAATTTAATGAAGACTAGTTCTTTGATTTTACCAGTTGTTTCGTGGAATGTACCATCCTAATTGAGACAACTGCCAAATTTTAAGAATTACGTAAAATTTCACCGTAGGCTATTCGGATCTCACTGCTTTTCCCTTTGACAGTTGAATATCCTGATAAACTTGGGGTCATACCCCTCCCCATTGCAGTCCCATCATGGCCCAGGCACAGGATAGGTGTAAACTGTGCCTTCCCAACCCAGACCAGGGCTGGTGACGTGAGACCCCACCAGGCCCCTTGTTTCCTGTTGTAAGTTTCTAAAAGCCTTTGGTTTGTCATTCACTTGACCTGTTGGGGTGTTAGCTTCTAAAACCACGTGTGACAGGCCGCTTGTACAAACTAATTTTCCTTCTTAAGGCCTGTTTCTCCTACTATTTTTTAGAGAGTGGGAAAGACCAGAAAAACTGTGGATGGCCAGCCTTATAACTTATGTAACTTATAGCCCTTGCAACTTACTCCGCTGCATGCATTTCGCTACAGATTACCAAATTTAGGTAGTCCACAAGGAAGAATAGTTTTCTTAATGTTATGGAAGCAGGGGCCATTTCTTACTTTGTCCACAGTTCATGAAGGCCTGTGTGTGGAGGACAGGAGCAGGGTTCAGCGTCACACCAGACCGTTTCATGGGCGAAAAGCAAATCTACTCTCCAAGCTTTGCAGAAAACAGAGACTCCATCTGTGGATGCAGACTTTTTTCTCAATTTTATTTTTTATTTATTGTTCGAGACCAGGTCCTTACTCTGTTGCCCCTGGTAGAGCGGCCAGTGGTTGTCATCCCGAAGCTTACTGCAACCTTAAACCCTGGCTCGGTGACGCTTCCTGCCTCAGCCCCGAGTAGCTTGAGACTACCAGCAATGTCACCATAACCCCTGGTCTACTTTCCTATATTTTGGTAGAGACGCAAGGTCTCTCCCATGTTGGTCAGGCTGGTGTAAAAACTTGTCCTCGAAACGATCCTCCCATCTTGCCTCCCCAAAAGTGTTAGTGTTACAGGCCATAAGCCACTGAGCGCCAGCCTCCCCTAAACACTCAATTTAAAGCCAGACATTTTACAAGGGAGTGAAAGGAGCAGCACCAAACAATGCTTCCAAACATACAAGGCATTCCAGACAAGGGCAATGAAAAGTGTTTTACTAATAACCCTAACCAGGATAAAAAATAATCTATTAAACAGAAAGCGAGAGAAATAAACTACGAGTCCACCAACTACCCTTTGTTTAAGTAAAACACATGTGCCCCTAAACTTATCTCCCTGATTCTTTCTCAGCCTTGAAGAGTCCCTAAGCGGACAGTAGGGGTGCAACCTCCCTGCTCCAACTCCTCTGCCGTCCAGTTCCTGCCAAAAAACAAAAAAAACAAAACAAAAAAACCAGATTTCAAGGACCAGATCAACCCACGCCTCACAGAAAACAGAAAAATATAGGAACTCCCTGACATCCGTTTCGCTATCCAGTGCTCGTTTTTTTTTGAAAGCAGAGAAAAAAAAAAAAAAAAAAAGGCCCTTTACCCTTTAAAGCACCAGGCCAACCTGCCTTCGCTGCTGATACCTTCTTTCCTCCTTCTGTGTCCACGGCCACCTCCTTCCCCTTTCTACGTCCCTTTCTCCTCTTCTTGGAAACATAAATAAACCTTACTCTGTATGTTCTAATCACTGCTCTGAGAATCTCTTTCTCACCCCGCGTGGAACTCCACACTCCTCAAGAGCAACATCAAGACATTTTTGGGCTGGGTAATACATAGCAAACCAGCATCTTAAAACCAGGCTTGAAACATTTTATCGTTATTTCCAAAGCCCCATTTCTGAGCCTTCTTTTTTTTTTTTTTTAAAAGGGAATTTGACCGAGAACATCCTCCCGCCAGCAGGGCGGCGGCAGGGCGCGGGGAAGCCCCCCCCCCGCCCCGCCCCCCCGCCGGGGCGGGCGCCGAGGAAGAGGCTGGGTTGAGGCTGTCCCTTGCCCCGCAGGGCCGGCAGTGCCCAACGTACCAGCGGGGCGGCTGGACACTAACTGGACTCCAAGAACGGCGGGGAGCCAGGGAAGAAGGCGGGTCTGCGGCGTGAGCAGAAGGCTCGGGGACGGGGAGGCCCGGCCAGCCGGCAGGAAGAGGCGACGGCGGGTCCCCGGGAGGGGGCGCGCGGAGGGATAGGGAAGCTCAGACGAAAGTCACGTGGCCGCCGGGTACGCAAGGCCGCCGACGTCCCAAGGCCGAGCAGGACGCCTCGTGAAGCCGCGCCAACCCTGGCCGCTGACGTCACGACGCGAGGCGGACCCCGGGCCAATGGAAGAGCCGTCGCGGGAAAGGGGCGGGCCCGGAGGAGTTGGGCTGGGCGCGCCGAGACGGTTGGCCGAGCCTTGTGTGGCGCCGCGGAGGACGAGAGCGAGCGGCCGGCTGCGGACGCCGCCTGCCTGCGCCCCGCATCGGTGCGCCCTGCCTGAACGGCGGCGGCTGCTGGCGAGGCGTGAGGGACGCGCGCGCGGCGGCGGCGGCTGCGGCGAGCGCTTCCGGCGCCGGCACTTCTCCTTGCGCTCCGCGCGGCCGGTCGGCGGGGATGCAGCGGCCGCGGCGGGGACGGGCGGCTCGCCGCCGCGTGCTGCTCTCTTGCTGGTGCCGCCGCACGTGGGCGGGCTCCGGC